TTCTGGGGGTGGAAGCTCTCCTGCAGCCCCCCAATTGCCCCCTCTCCCCAGATGGCAGCCTGCGGCAAGTGCAGCCGGGCCGATGGCCGAGTGCTGTGATGTGCCAAGTGTGGGCATTCAGGGCACTCCAAGCCAGGACTGCTTTGCTGTCCCTCATCGAGTTAGACAAGCGAGTGGGGAACCCCTGAGAACTGTCTGTCCGGGGTGGGGGTCGGGTCCCTTTAAGCACAGCCCTCGGCTAGCCTGAGACAGGAGCTCCACGCTCTAAGTCCTAACCTGATGCCCTGCCGGCACTGTTTCCGGCCATCCTTAACCTTGGTTCAGGGTCCACTCAATGTGGACATGCTAGTTCAAATTAGCAAAACGCTAATTCGAACTTGTTTTTAGGTCTAGATGCGCTAATTCGAATTAGCTTAGTTCGAATTAACTAATTCGAATTAAGTTAGTTCGAGTTAGTGCTGTAGTGTAGATATATCCTTTCAAATTTGCACCTTTTCTCTTCTGTGGCAGGAAGCAGAATTTTGAAAGCCAGTGTGATATCACTTGCAGGTTACTTCAGGAGTAAGATCTAATATCCTCTCATCTACTGCACGGACTATGGGGTTTTTTCAAAGGAACTAGGAGAAAGAAATCCTGCTGACCTGAGCATGAGGTAAGTGGAATGAATGCATCTACAATAACAGATCCTCTAGCTAAGTGACTTTGTGAAGTTGTTGCAGCAGACAGCTGATTCCATTCTAATGCTTCTAAATCGATCTACTTTTTGCTTTCCACTCCCGTTGGATCATTTCTCCCACTTTTTCTGCTCTAGATTCCTGTGACGGGGTGAAGCAGCCTCGCACTGAACTCTCAGGGCTCAGCAAGGGATACCTGGCTGCCGAGGCCCTGCCCCTGCAGTTCTACCGAGCATGCCCAGGCTGCAGCTCATCTATAAAAGCCTGAGGAGAGGCTCAGTCTGGGCTGGCGGCTGGAAGGGAAGGACCTAGAAAGGGAGCTCCTGACCAGCATCCACCAGCGACCGTAGGAGAAGCCAGCGAAGGCACTGGGGCCAGTTGGGACATCGCTGGGGTCGTCCACATAGGAGGAGATGCTCCTGGGAATGTGGAGGACCCTGTGAGTATGTGGGAAGAGATCCTGTTGGACCAGGAAGGAAGTGGCCCAGGGAGGGTGCAGGGCAGCCTCTCCTGCCCCGGGAACCTTGCACATTTCGGGTGGATTCCCTGCCGAGGGAGTGGTGGGCCGTCCTGCCACTCACAGGGCCCTGGGCTGGGACTTGGTGGAGTAGGGTGGGCCTGGGTTCCCCTACCAGAGGTGTGACCCCACCCCCATCAGTGGCCTGCCATCACAGCCCTGACTTAAAGGGCTCCCCATAGACTTTGCTTAAAGACTCCTGCCAGTGGGCCCTGCCTTAAAGGGCCACCCCACGATTGTACATAGAGACTCGGGCCAGTGGGCCCAGTGTTAAAGAGACAGTTACAGACTTTGCATAAAGATTCTGGCCAGTGGGCCCCAACATAAAGGGCCTCACTGTGACTGTGCATAGAGCCGCAGGCCAGTGGGGCCAGTGTTAAAGTGACAGTATAGAGAGACTCAGGGTCTCATCCTGGCCCTCAGAGGTGGTTGGGAAGATAGCCCCGTGACAATTCCCCTCTGTTCAAATATAGAATTGCCTTACTGGCTAAGGGTCTTATTTGGAATAGCAAGTGTTTAAATCGATGCCTGTTTGGGAAAATCCTTAAGCATACATTTAAATAATGTTGATTTAAAAAAGAAGTGCTTTCCTTTGGGCCTAAAAATGCAGTTGAATAACTTAGAAACAGAGCTTATGCTCATATGCTGTAGAAAAAAAATGGGCAACATACAATTCAAACCTCATTGTCAAGTTAGAAATGCATTGAAATATAATGTTTAGGTTTCATTTGTCTATTAAATATTACTTATTTGTACTCGGCTAATGGTGAGGAGCTCTAGGCATGGATCAGGACATCACTGAAGTTAAACTCTGGAAAAGACATCCAAACAAGGCTTTTATATGGTTATACAAATACTGGTTGGGGTGGTCTAGGTTTACTTGCTTCAGCACAGAAGGCTGCACTTGATGACTTAGAATGATAGAATATTAGGACTGGAAGGGGCCTCAAAAGGTCATCTATTCCAGCCCCCTGCGTTCATGGCAGAACTAAATATTTATCTTTTAGACCATCCCTGACAAATGTTTATCTAACCTGCTCTGAAACTCTCCAATGCAGTAGATTCTGGAACCTCCCCAGACAATTTATTCCAGTGCTTGAGCACCCTGACAATTAAGAAGTTTTCCTAACGTTCAACCTAAACGTCTCTTGTTTCAATGTAAGACCATTAATTCTTGTCCTATCTTCAGAGGTTAAGAAGAACAATTTTTCTCTCTTCTTCTTGTAACAATATTTTTTGTTCTTGAAAATTGCTATCATGTCCCCTCTCAGTCTTCTTTTCTCCAGACTAAACCATGGTAATTACTTTTGAAAATTCCTTGAAGCGCTACATATTTATATTTCTATGACTGTGCAAGATGCTGGTACAAATAACAAAAAAGAGGATCCTGCTACAAAGAGTTCTCTTTCTGAGCAATAATTAGTATTATCCCCAAATGTGTTGTAGGCACCTAAAACACAAATTAGGACTAAATTAAGTTTCATTGTTTGCTACTTCCTTTGAATCCACCTTTGATTTAATGATTGCTGCTTTCCTGTATTGTAGAGAACAATATGTTGCATTTGCCTCATAGCACATTACAGGCAAGCAAATGCTAAATTAATAAACCCACTTTTTAAATGTTATTAAATTGTGGATTACAACACTGGGCTTCCTTGTGCTTATTTCTGTCGTGAGCTTGCTGTCAGGAATTGTTTGATGTCAGAGCAAACATTGTTTGGCAAAAACTAGGTTTGTTTATTCTTAATCTGAGTTTGAAAACTGTAGCATTTAATATGAAAATGAAATAACCTAATCCTAAATCAAATCTTAATTTATATTAATTCATTCTAAACTAAAGTAAAGGCCTATTAATAGACGTGTGTATAAGGAATGTAGCACAGACTGACTATTACATACTTACATGTATGGTTACTAGTGTGGTTACCATACAGTTCCACCTAGACCACAGCAACAGTTAAGACCAAGAGACCTCTGCAGCACTGGCTGGGAGCCAGCTGGCTTTTAGCTCTGAAGGTAGAGGCTCTAATACTCAGCTCTAGAGGGCCCAGGTTCAAAAGCTGTCTGGTGGTGGTTACACAGGCAAATACTTGTTTATATTATACATTAATATGAATTGGTTAATGGTAAAGCCAGTAATCACCTATCATATGTAATACTGAAGCACTGGTGTAAGTAATTATGCAGTTATTAGTATATAGAAGGAAAAAGATTAACCCCTTATGTGCCTCTTTTTCCCCTACTAACTGAAAAATAATGTCACTTAGCATTTAAAATCTGAAGAAACTTCAGAAAAGAATATTCCGTGTGAAATATCAGAGGAAAAAAGAGCCATGAAATATTAAGTTACATTGTTTTTATACTTTTTATGTGATTAATAGATTAGTTTGTTGTAAATTGAAAGTGCCTACTAGATTATTTATATGTTAATGTAAATATGAAGAGCAATGCTTCAAAGCAATTTAAGTATCAAAACTGTGCTTATCAGCCATTTATATAATCCTAAATGTAAATGTGAAGATGACTTGTGTCCTTAGCGTGTTTACCTTGGTTCCCTTGGCAATGCATAAACATTGCTAAGGGAAAAGACTGTTTATCTTCTCTTCTGTCTTTTCAATATATGAATTAATGAAAATTATCCTTGGTTTTCTAGGATTTTTGATTAAAAATAAACATGTACAATTTGCGTTTCATCTATGCAATATTCCTTTATGATATTATTTTAAAAAATAGGGAATTCTTCTGTAGATGTCAGTTGATATGCTGTAACTTTTCTATCCAAAACAAACATTTTTGCATAACAACAATTCAAAATATATTTTTTAACTATTGAACTCAACACTAAATGTTGGTGTAATAATTATTCTAATACCCACCACTGCCAATTTTTGGTCCCATTTGATATGTTTTCTTGAATGCTAAAATTGATGTGTATCCTCATGGCAATTAGCAAATAATAACTAATAGTTATATTGTCTCTGTCTGCAGAGTTCCAGCCACACTGGGCAATAAAAGTTGATCCCATTACACTTTTGGAAGCAAAGAATGGAGCAGGTATGCAGCTGTGTATGTTGGCCAGGGAAAGAATGAGGATTACTAGGGTGGGGTATGTCTACACTACAAAGTTAATTCGTTATTAGTTCGAATGACAGTCATAGAATTTGATACAGGATGTGGTCCCTGGTTAACAAGGCAGACAAAGGATGGAACATGCGCTGAGTGGAACCTTGTTTGTATGTCCAGTTGTAGCTCTTTTCTATAATAAATGCCTCTCTTTAACAATGATTCTATATTTTGTGATGCTTTGAAAAGGTAAATGGAAAGAGACTAGCGGTGGGTTTAATTAAGGCTAGATAGTCCTGCTGCCTCCCCAAAATTGCCCTTGCCAAGCCCTGCTACTGAGTAAATCATGATACTCCTCCTTCTTCTGAGACCTGCTTCAATCATTATACAGCTTGTAGTCTCCTAGCAGAATCGTAAGTAGCAACATTGAGGTGGTGGTCTGTTTACTTTCTTCTTGGAAGCTGTCTGTTTGGCCATTCCGTTTTATAGCATGCAAGGTTTATTCATGTCTGAACCTGTGGATTAGTTATTCTACTTGTCAGGAAATGTGCCCAGAATCAATGTGCATTTGAAGTACCTCAGCTGTACGGGCACTCTGCCAATACAATTCATTAGTGAATGGAGTTCATGGTATAACTGAAAGGTTTGAATTTTATTATAACTTACAGGATTGCAAAAAGAGTAAGGCTCACATTTTCAACCGTGTGCACTAATTTTGGTCTCCTTTATTAAACTGCATTTTTCCGTGGCCCTGATTCAGGAAAAGATTTAATTCGATACTTTAAGCATGCTTTAAATTCCACAATTTTGTTCTGAAAAAAGATACTTTTCTGAATCAGCATCTGTGGTAGCTAGTTATTATCATTGTATCTCTCAGTTGCAGCAGAATTTTCACAATTCATAGCCTTCAAATGTATTTTGGAAATTTTTATTAGGATGTCTGGCTGCAGCAGGTAAGCAGTGAAAGAGATGTTGCTTATTATTGAAAGTAGTATAGTATCTCCACTGAAAGAAAATACAAACAATTTTGTATTTGGGGATAATATATTATTTCAGACAGAACAGTTACTGTCATTTTTCCAGACCAGTGTGTATGAAAGGATGCAACAGTTTAAATAAAGGGTTAGCAAGACTGCTTATGGGAATTCTTTGGAATACACTGCTATCTTGTGACAAAAGAGAGAACTGCAGTCTGAAAATGCTTCTGAAAAAGGGCTTTTACTCCTCAGCCTATCAAAGCCTAAGTGTGTGTAATTTTACAGTGATTAAAGAAACATTTGTTGTATCATAAAATATTTCCAAATATGTAATATTATCTTGCATGCAGAAAGGAAAGTTTTAAATTTCTTTTTAATTATTAACCTCTTAGTGCCAAGAAGGTGTTGACCATATCTCTTCGGGTGCATCTACACAGCATCCTAAACTAGAAATAAGTTATTTTGATTGTATTGCAAAATAGCTTATTTCAAAATAATGTGCTATTTCAACACATCCCTTAACCCTCGTGGAACAAGGATTACAGGGATGCTGAAATTGAGTGCCATGTTTGAAATATAGTTCAAAATAACGGGTGTGTTTAAAAGACATGGGGTAGCTATTTTGGGATACATCTGTCTAGATGTACCTCTTTGGATATTTTAACTGCTGAGATGAATGGAATGTTTGAGCTTACATTAAGAACTCTGAGACCAGAATGTTCTTCATAAAATACCTTTGTTTAATTGTCTTCCCCTTCGAATCAAGTAGCATTTCTATTCGAATCAATATGCTTTGTCTCCCCCAAACAACAACAAAATCCCAAATGTAAATAAGTTTTGGTAATGTTGAAATGTTTCTCCGATTTATGTTGGTATTGCCGCATCATTTGGGTAAAAAGCTCTTAGCTTCCCTGTAAACACCCCCTTCCCCAGTTTAAGAAGTTTATTTTGGTATTTTTAATTAAATATTTTGATTTTTTTTTAAAGTCTGAAGCTACTTTTGTTTCAACATTTCCTTATTTTTTAAAAAAATGGTTGGAATTTTAAAAAGTTTACGTCTTGATTCACTGCAAAAATTCCATATTTTCCCCCATCCACATGCTGTTTAAAGAATACAGCTAAATAGGGAGCAGAGGCCACAGTAGGAAGTGATCCAGGGAGCAGGCTTTGGGGTGTCTACCTTAGACCGCATATCTAACTTGGGCCATTAGTTAGAACCAGTTGGAGCAGGGAAGGCTTGGATTCCACTAATGCTGGCGCCCTGATTCTTGCCACTGTATGATACTATTGCAGACTCTCGCTACTGGGCAATGCTGGTATACACTCTTCCATTGGGAGATGCAGTCGCAAACTGTTGCCATTGGAAGACACTAATGTGTTCAGAAACCGAACCCCTGGGTAGGATAGGTTGTGGTTTTTTGGCTTTCTGATATTACATCAGATTTTCTCATTACTTCCAGTCTGTTGAATCTTTGGAATAAATTAAAGCATATGGTTGATTTGCAGCATTTCTTGTTACTGGACTTGTTAGTTACAAGCTTTTATTTGCTCAGCGTGAAAAAGAGATTTTCCTTTTAAAACTTGGTCATCTGTATTGTAATTGTTTTCCAATAAAATCTACTTGGCTCCATCTAAAGAAGTAAACTCTGACTCTGTGGTTACAAGTACATCTCCCTAAAATGTGGGCATTTAAAAGATCTCTGGGTAGCATTTACTGTACATGTATCCTTTCCACAGAAGCAATATTTCAGCTGTTTCATTGCTGCCTACCAAATTAGATATGTATAAACCAGATGGCAAGTGGTTTGACATTTCCGTTTGATTTATACCAATTGAAATTGACAACCTCATGTCAAAGTATGCTAATCCTTAATTGGAAAGCATATCCCTGTTGGACTACTGAATTTGTTTAGTTTTAATTGAAGAAGACTGCCTGAGAATCTCTGCAGAGATTCTCTGACACCAAGCAGACTAGAGAAGCTAGGCAAACAGTGCCTTTCTTTGAAAAGATATTTGAGAAGAAATTAATGCTCCTCTTTAAAAAAAAAATTAAAAAAAAATCATGTAATACTTCACCTAGTGGCAACGCATTTCCCAGACCCTGAGATGGAAGTCATGAGGCCAAAGTCATGTTTTGTGAATTGCAATTAGTTTGGAGGTTTAGCTTATGCTGACCTCTTGGATTTGCAAAACTTGCCTGGAAATACAGGTGTTAATTGATCTATATCATGCAATGGGTGTCATTAATGGGTTCTGTAAGGGCTAAGACTGGTACTTGGTTGCTTTCTTTGATTATCCTTTAGGGAAGAGAAGAGGGTTGTCTGGGATTGGGTCATTACCCAGTTATCTGGGGATCTGAGAGACAAGCTGGATTCTGTTCTCAAACAACATTACCAGTAATACAAATAAGTGTAATTGTTTCCTCAGCAACAGCTGTGGAACTCCTGTTGCCTTCCATGTAGAACCAGTTGGAGAACAATAGGGATATTTCACAAAAAGGGCTAAATAGTATCAGGTCTCTGTTTACCAAACCTGACCCTTGTTTAATACAATTTAAATGTCGTACAAGGATAGGATCATTCCAATATCTTTAACTCTTTTATTAAAAATGAAGGAAAAAACCTTCCAGCCCCAATTTATTCCATCTAAATTAATACCACATGCCCTCTCACCCATTTTCCAGTAGAGGGGGACTTTTTCCTAATAAGAGAGAATATGGGGAACCTTTTGTCCCCCTTCTATTTGTGTGCAAATTCCTTTCAGTCTTTTGTGGAAAATTAAGGTCCATTGTCAGCGAATATAGTGTCTAGAATACCATATTTCACAAACTGGGCCCTTGGTTTGCCAATTACTGACTTGCTTCTTATATCAATCAGGGTATTGACCTCCCAGAAATGTGAATAGCAATCAAGAGTTTCAGTCTCGTGTACAGATTTGTGTACATGTGAATACTAATCAAGTACTGCTCTTCATTGAAGGTAAATATGTCTGCTTCCACTTTGTTTCCATGGTTGGGTGGTTAGCTCAAGTGTTAAGAATCTCCTTCTGCTGGTGGTAATCACACAACTGGCAAATGTCACATGCTTTTATTAAGGAATGAAGCTGTGTATTGTATGTGTAAGTGTGACAGTTTTCAGAGAGTAGTTATCAATGGAAGTGCATAAGAAGTGGGGTTTCACAGGGATCAGATTTCGGACTGGTTTTGTACAATATCTTTATGAGCTATTTAGATAATGGCATAGATAGTACACTTATCAAGTTGGCAGATAATACGAAGCTGTGAGCTTTGGAGGATAAGATCATAATTCAAAATGATTTGGACAATCTGGAGAAAAGGTTTGAGATAAATAGGATGAAGTTCAATGAAGACAAATGCAAAGTACTCCACTTAGGAAGGAACAATCAGTTTCACACAAAGAAAATGGGGAGTGACTTTCTAGGAAGGAGTACTATAGAAAGTCTCTAGGGCCATAGCAGACAACAAATTAAATATGAAGCAAGAGTATGACACTTATGCTAAAAGCAAGCATCATGTTGGGATGCATTAACAGGAGTGTTGTGAGCAAGACATGAGAAGTCATTCTTTTGTTCTACTCGGCACTGATTAGGCTTCAACTGGAGTATTGTGTCCATTTCTGGGCACTGCATTTCAAGGAAGATGTGAAAAAATTGGAAAAGGTCCAGAGAAGAGCAACCAAAATGATTAAAGGTCTAGAAAACATGGGCTATGAGGGAAGACTGAAAGAACTGGGTTTGCTTAGTTTGGAAAAGAGAATGGACATGATAAAAGCTTTCGGGTACCTAAAAGGGTTATCAAGGAGGAGGGAGAAAAATGATTCTCCTTAATATCCGATGATATGACAAGAAGCGATGGACTTAAATTACAGCAAGAGAGGTGTAGGTTGGACATTAGGAAAAACTTCTTAACTGTCAGAGTAATTAAGCAGTAGAATAAATTGCCTAGGGAAGTTGTAGAAGCTCCATCATTGGAGATTTTTAAGACAGGTTAGACAAGCATCAGTCAGAGATTATCTAGATGGTGCTTGGTCCTGCTGTAAATGCAGGGAACTAGACTTGATGACCTCTCAAGGTCCCTTCCATAAGAACATAAGAAAGTCCGTACTGGGTCAGACCAAAGCTCCTTCTAGCCCAGTATTCTGTCTGCCGACAGTGGCCA